GCTTCCCGGCAAATCCTGGGGCGGGGCCCCCCGGGCTTCCCGGCAAATCCCGGGGCGGGCCCCCCCAGGCTTCCCGGCAAATCCTGGGGCGGGCCCCCCCGGGCTTCCCGGCAAATCCCGGGGCGGGCCCCCCTGGGCTTCCCGGCAAATCGGGGCGGGCCTCCCCTGAGATCCCGGCAAATCCCGGGGCGGGCCCCCCCGGGTTCCCCGGCAAATCCCGGGGCGGGCACCTCCTGAGCTTCCCGGCAAATCCCGAGGGAAATACGAGGAGGAGGAGGAGGAGGAGGAGGAGGAGGAGGAGGAGGAGGAGGAGGAGGAGGAGGAGGGGGAGAGGAGGAGGAAGAGAAAAAAGGCGATGGGGAGCAGCAGCAGCAGGAGGAGATGGAGAGGGAAGGGGCAGGATCAGAAGCAGGAGGAAGAGGAGCAGGAGCAGGAGGAGGAGGAGGAGGAGGAGGATCGGTGCCACGGCGGCGACGACGACGACGACGACGACGACGACGACGACGAGGGGGCGAAGCTCCAGCATGAGGGATCAACGCATGGGGGGTAAAACCCCAGCATGAGGGGTCGACGCATGAGGGGCCAAAGCCCCAGCATGAGGGGTCAACGCATGAGGGGGACAAGCCCCAGCAAGAGGGGTCAACGCACCAGGTAAGAGGGGCCGAAGCCCCAGCATGAGGGGTCGACGCATGAGGGGTCAAAGTCCCAGCATGAGTGGTCAACGCATGAGGGGTACAAGCCCCAGCGTGAGGGGTCAACCCATGAGCTGAGCGGGACCAAGGCGCCAGCATGAGGGGTCGACGCATGAGGGGCAAAAGCCCCAGCATGAGGGGTCGACGCGTGAGGGGCTCAAGCCCCAGCATGAGGGGTAAACGCATGAGGGGTACAAGCCCCAGCATGAGGGGTCGACGCATGAGCTAAGCGGGACCAAGGCGCCAGCATGAGGGGTCAATCCATGAGGGGCAAAAGCCCCAGCATGAGGGGTCGACGCATGAGGGGTACAAGCCCCATCATGAGGGTCAACGCATGAGCTAAGCGGGACAAAGGCGCCAGCATGAGGGGTCAACGCATGAGGGGCCAAAGCCCCAGCATGAGGGTTCGACGCATGCGGGGTACAAGCCCCAGCATGAGGGGTCAACGCATGAGGCAAGAGGGCCCAAAGCCCAAGCACGAGGGGTCGAGTCATGAGGCGACAAAGACCCAGCATGAGGGGTCGACGCATGATGGGTGCAAGCTCTAGCATGCGGGGTCAACCCATGAGGTAAGCGGATCCAAAGCCCCAGCATGAGGGGTCGACGCACGAGGTGTACAAGCCCCATCATGAGGGGTCAACCCATGAGGGGCATAACCCCCAGCACGAGGGGTCAAGGCACGGGGTAGTAGGGGTCGAAGCCTCAGCATGAGGGGTCGACGCATGAAGGGCCAAAGCTCCAGCATGAGGGGTCAACGCATGAGGGGTACGAGCCCCTGCATGAGGGGCCAACGCATGAGGTAAGATGGGCCAGAGCCCCTGCATGAGGGGTCAACGCATGAGGCGCCAAAGCCCCAGCATGATAGGTCGACGCATGAGGGGTCAAACTCCCAGCATGACATGAGAGGTCAACGCATGAGGTAAGATGGGTCGAAGCCCTAGTATGAGTGGTCAACGCATGAGGGGCAAAAGCCCCAGCACGAGGGGTCGACGCACGAGTTTTCAACGCACCAACTCCCCAATACCACAAACCTCCCAACACACGAAACCTCCAACAGACGTGAACAGGGCATGCGAGCAGCAGCAGCAGCAACAGGAGCAGGATCGGGACCAGGAGAAGGAGCAGGAGCAGCAGCATCAGGAGCAGGAGAAGCGGGAGGAATACGAGGATGAGGAGGGAGGAGGACGAGTACGAGGAGGAGGAGGGAGGAGGAGCGGAGGAGGAGGGGGAGGAGCAGGGGGGCAGGAGTAGGAGGAGGCGCAGCAGGAGCAGGAGCAAAGAGCAGGAGGATGAGGAGGAGGAGGAGGAGGAGAACGAGGAGAAGCAGCAGCAGCAGCAGCAGTAGCAGGACTCCTCCTCCTCATCATCATCCTCCTCTCCTCCTCCTCATCCTCATCCTCCTCCAACCCTTTTTCCCTCTCCCTTGCCTCCTCCTCCGCCTCCTCCTCCTCCTCCTGCTCCTGCCCCTCCTACTCCGTCCTCCTGCTCCCCCTCCCTTGCTCCCCCCTCCCTCGCTCGCTCCATCCCTCCCTCCTCCTCCTCCTCCTCCTTCTCCTCCTCCTCCTCATCCCTCCTCCTGCCTCCGCGATCCTACCTCCTCCCGCTTCCCTCGTCCCTTCCCCTCCTCCTTCTTCTCACTTCCCCCCCCCCCCCCTACCCCGCCTGGTAGGAGGAGGAGGAGGAGGAAGAGGAGGAGATGGAGGAGGAGGAAGAGGAGGAGGAGGAGGAGGAGGAGGAAGAGAAAGAGGAAGCGGAGGAGGAGGAGGAGTAGGAGGAGGATGGGGAGGAGGAGCAGGAGCAGGAGCAGGAGGAGGATCGCTATGAAGCACCCGAATCTCTATGAAGCACCCGAATGTGTTGAGACTGACTTCTCAAGAAGACCATCGGACACGAACAGGCGAGATCTTCAAAATCAATGTTTGTCCGATGGTTTATCAATGATTTGGACACCTTGGGGCCCTCTTGGAAGCCTCTTGGAGCCAGAATCCTTGAAACAAACAACTGGCAATCAACATCGTGTGCTTCTCGAGGCCCTTTCGCGGGCCCTGTTGGACCCGCTCGCGCGTCTCCTCTGGCAAGTTTATGGCCATCTGGGAGCCTCGTTGGCCACACAGGTCCATGTTAGCGGCCTCTTGTTGCACATTGCAGCCGTCCTGGAGGTCTCAGGGGGCATGAAAAATCCGCCGTAGCCCTTTAATGCGAAGTGAAATTATTACCCCTACCCTTGTCAAGGGTTGCTTGTCGCCCACCGCGGTAAATATTGTTTTACACTGCGAGGGCAAAGCCGCTCCATCAACATTGCGGCCGACATCTGGTAATGCGAGATCACTTAATCCAAGAGACGATGCATTGGCGCGCGCGCGTTGCAAACAACTGACAGACACCTTGGGCCAAAAAACTCGTCCGCAGAACACTGGAACAGTTACTCCAGATTTCGTAATAAAAGGGAGGGGGTCTGATTTCGGGGGGGTCTCTTCCAGGCTATCTTGGAGGGCCTGGGGGGGTCTGGGGACGATGTTTTGGAGGGTTCTCCCACAGGGGGGGTCTAAAACTTTTCGTCTGGGAAGGTTGAGACCCCCTCCCTTTTATTACGAAATCTGGAGTACCGCACAAGCGAAGAACACATAACATGAGCGATCAGGCTAATCCAACGGGGGGAGATCAGCCCACGCAGCAACCTTACCGGGGAAAGCTGCCGAGATGGTGACCTCCCCAAATGTCTGAGCTCACCATCGAGCTGATGTGCCCCCAACGGTTTGGGGGTACGTTTTTCAGACCCCAGGGTACTCCAGATTCCGTAATAAAAGGGCGGGGGTCTCAACCCTCCCAGACGAGAAGTTTTAGACCCCCCCCGTGGGAGAACCCTCCAGAACATCGTCCCCAGACCCCCCCAGGCCCTCCAAGAGAGCCTGGAAGAAAACCCCCTCGAAATGAGATCCCCTCCCTTTTATTACGAAATCTGGAGCACTAACAAAATTATCCCCCAGGCCATGAAAGCCCTGGACCCCACAGGCCTCTGAACGCCCACGCGTCGAGACACGCCGCGCCCTGACGCGCCCCCAGGAAGCCCCTCGCGAGGCAAAACGACGGAAACGCCATGTGCACATATATATATATATATATATATATATATATACATATATATATATATATGGTAGCCCCCCCCACATGATCATATGAGATATGGGGGCGAGCACATATATATATATATATATATATACATATATACATATATATATATATATATATATATATGAATGTATGTGTGTGTGTATCCCGGAACTCGTTCCGCGTCGCCCGCCATGCCCGCAATCGCGCCGGGGCGCAATCGTTCCTGCTCCGCGCCCCCCAGCAGAATGATGAGCCCTAGCCCGAAGAACATAAACAATTAGCGTGGCGGGTTGCAGCTTACCCAAGCGAGGTGCGCCAGCGTTGGAGCCAAGGGCGCACGCGCGCCTCCAAACAAACGGTGCGCGACTTGCGAGATGTTTCCAAAGGACAGGGGTCGGGATAAGTATCTCGCTGCGGATTTAGGGGGCCTGCCAGCCCAAGGTCGGGAGCGGTCAAGAGGGGGGCGTCCAAGAGGGGGGGGTGCAAATCATGACCGGCGGCATGTGCGCGGCCCAGCGGGGGGGCCAGGGACGTAATGAAACAAGAAGAGGCGCCATGAAATCTGGGGAGATATCATGGCCCACGCCATGATATCCCCCCCCCTAGTCATCACCCCCCTCTTCTCCGCCCCCGACAAGGGACCAAAATCTGGTGCGGGGGATGGGCGTGGGGAGTTTTGACCACGGGGGGCCCCCGGGCTCGGGTCTGCGTCGTCGGATCTCAAGGGGACACGGTGGGAGGCGGCGCCTCACGCGAGCGAGCTCGCGCGGGCAGCTTGCGCACCCGGTGTGACGAACGCACAACACGCACCCATACCCATAGGGGGGTCGTTGGGAGGAGGACTGGCTGTGGGTATGGGTGCGGGTTGTCGGACCCTGGGGAACGCTCCCGTTCGAGCGGGGACCCCCATCCGAAAACACGCACCCATAGCCCTCTCCGATCCCCCATATGGGTATGGGTGTGTGTGTGTTTAAAGGGAAACTAGGACACACAAATAAATACACACAAATAAAAATAGTCCCCATATTTTCCCATATTTTCTGGGTTTTCGTCTTCCCCCCCAATTCCCATATTTTCCCATATTTTCCTGGGAATCGAGGATCAATTGTGTCTGTGTGTTTCTTTTCCTCCTGAGTGTTGTTGGTTCGTCACTGTGCCCGTGCGGCCCCCCCCCCGCTTCACTGCGCAGCCCCGGGCCTGGCGCAGGAGGTCGGGGCACCGCTGCAGCAGCTCCTCCAGGTCGAGGCGGCGCGCGGCCTCTCGGGAGACGCCACGAGGGCTGCGAGGAGCGACTGTCCTGGACGTCGAGATGTTCTGTTGGGCGTGCGGCGCCCTTCGCTGCCAACCCCACCCAGGTGAGGACCCAGAGGGGCGACGGCTTCCCCGACGGCGATATCCGTGGGCACCCCTGGCAAGTGGGAGGGGGCTGGGCGAGATTCCGGTGGCCTCCGCCTCGCCTCGAGCTCGGTGCCTTCCGCCGCCCCTCTGCGCGGCGGCCCGCGCCACCACGCGTCCCAGCGACCCATGGGGCCGCAGGCGGCCCGCGGGGCCCTCGGCCGCGAGGGAGGCCGAAGCTGAAACTGCTGCGGAGGACCACGGGGCTTCTGCCAGGCATTCGCAGCACGCCGACCCGCTGGAGGCCTCTAGCGTGGGGTCCGAGCAGACAGGGTCGGAGCATCGCGCCGCATCCATCGCAAATGCATCACCGATGCATCGGCGACGTCGGCGATGCACAGGCGACGTCGGGATGGAGAACATCGGGCTGCACATCGAGCCGCATCGCCGATGCATCCGCGATACGGCGCGGTCATCCGATCCCATCTACTCTGACCCCATCTGGGCGGCCTAGAACTATACGCCTATGATAGAGCCGCGCATCGAGAACCAGAATCCCACCTGCCCTCTGGCAGTAGGTCGTTTAGCGTGTTTTCTCCTCAATCGTCCTCTCTTCCCCTTCGGGGAGGGGTTTACCCTCCCCCCCCCCCCTACCCACCAACCCTGGACGGCGCTCCGCGACCCCTTTGAGCGTCCGAGATGGCCAAAGATGGCTCCAGGAGGGCCTCAGCGAGCCAAAGATATCATCCGAGATGGCTCGGGATGGCTCCAAGTAGCCTCCAACGTGATCCGAGAGACTCCAGGACCGCCCCTATAGGCGGCTTCAAATGGCCTCGGATCACCGAGGCCCAAATCCTCACGACACCTACGGAAAATCCATGTTGTCTGCGGTCTCGCCTTTTCGCTTCTGATGGTTTTCCGAGGCGTCAAGATGGACCCAAGATGGCCGTAGAGGGCCCCAAGACAGGCCCAAGGGGGCCCAAAGACGGCCCCGAGCGCGACTAAGCGCGCCCCAAGAGTGCCTCAAGAGGGCTCCACGAGGCCACCTTGGGGGCTCCAGAGAGGCGGCACGAACTGAAGCTCTCACCTTCTGTGAGCGACCTCCTTCAAGATGGCATCAAGGGGGCCTCCAGTGCGCCCAACAGAACCCAAAACAGCCCCAAGAGCTAGGTCTCCCAAGTTCGCGCTTCGCGTTCCGCGAAGCGCGAAGCGCGAAAAAATTCGCGCTCTCGCGCCGCCCCCCCAAAGGGAGAAACGAAAGCTGAGGAGGAGGGGGGAGAAGGAACAAGAACCGCGAAGCGCGAATAACTTCGCGCCCTCGTGGGAGCCCTTGAAGAGGCCCCCAGGAGGCCCCTAAGAGGCCCCTACGCGGCCCCCAAGACAACCCAGGAAGCCTCCCGGGAAGCCCCCACGAGACATCCCAAGAGACTCCGAGAGGCCTCCAAGAGGCCTCTGGCCTTCTGCCCAGCCTCATTCTCCGCCCCATCTGCAGATGCCCTCTTCTTCTATCTCCTCCTCCTCCTCCTCCCCCTCCTCCTTCTCCTCCTCCTCCACCTCCACCTCCATGTCCTCCTTCATCCTTCTCCTCCACTTTGGGAGATAACATCCGCCCCCTCTCTTGCTCCTACACTTCCCTGGTCACCTCTAACTCGCTAGGTCATCGTGTATGGATGGGCTGCTAGGGAAATGCGAAACGTCAACAAGTAAAGGGGAACGACGCCTGTGCAAATTTCGTGGATATTCGCTGGGCGGCCTCCTGGCGCGCGGAGCGCGCAACGGGCGGCGCAGGAGGCGTCGCCAGGGGAGGCCCAGCGCCTGCTCAAGAATTCTGCGCGGAGCTCCGGCGAAAACTGGATGCCGTTCGCCAGTGTGCCTAGGGTTTTTTTTCGCTTCGGGCGCCGCACGGCGACAACCCGCGGGCGTGACGAACTCGCTGCATTCAGAATGCGTTGGTTTATTTAATCGCTTCGCTCATGCCGCCGGCCCTGGAGCCCTCTTTAGGGCCTCTTGGGGGCCTCTTGGGGACCTCTTGGGAGTCTCTTGGGGCTCCTTGGCGGCGTTTTGGAGGCCCCCAGGGCCTCTTGGGGGGCTCTTGGGGGTAGTCGATTGCGGCTCCCCCCTCGGAGGCCACGATCCTCGTGAGGGGTGTCGAAAAATACCCTCCCCTGGAGTGGTCTGGTGGCTAACTTGCTGCATTCAGAATGCGTTGGTTTATTCCTCCCAGTTGCACGTCGCTGGTGGATTTTCAGGGTTAGGTGTCTTGCGAAAGCTTCTTGCGGCCGCGTCCACAGTGCACACAGGCCCAGACCTCCGGTGCATTAGTTTCTGCTCAATCTCAACATTCCTCCTCGATGCCGACTTCCGGGGGGGAGCGCCTTTCCGCCAGAGCATACATAAGTCACGGACCTACGACGGCAGTGGCCCCTTCGGAAGGAATCGATACCTCTGGGCCCCGCGGATTGAAAAGTCACAACGATGAGTGCATCGGGATCCTGGCCCACCTTGGTCCAAGGTTTGTGTACGAGCCCCCTGGGCTGAGCCAGGGAGGTGTTTTCGGGTGTTGCCAGAAGTGCCCCTGGCCCAAGGTGCCCCCAGGAACGCAGATCGGCTACGCGCAAGAGTGACCCTGGTCAAGGTTTACCCCTTGGTGCGCGGCTTCAGGTGGCCGCGGGGGCGCCAAATCCAAGCGTGCAGGCCGGCGCTGGGGGGACTCCTGTGGGCCCGCACTCAAGGTCCCTCCGACGAAAGTTGGGCGCCCGAACTGTCCGGGGTAACTCGGGTCCGGGGTGACTCGGGCTTGGATTCCCAAAAAACAACTGACCCGAGATGCCCCTGATGATTCGGGGCTCTGGACGCCTGAATTATCCGGGGTAAGTCGGGTCCGGGGTAAGTCGGGTTCGGAATCCCGAAAACGAACCCGAGTTGGCCCTGACCCGAGCTACCCCTGATGATTCGGGGCTCTGAGAAAGGTCTGTCGTACGCTTCCAAAGCCGATCCAAACAGGCCCCCGAGGCATCCCGAGAACCCCTCGCGAGGCCCGGGCGGCCCCGGGGGCTCCGACATCGAGAGTGCAGACCTGGGCGCACCTTGGGCCAGGGCCACCCGCAACAACCCCCGACGCGTTTGCGAAAAACACATCCGGGCATCCGCGGCCTCGCGGGCCGGCCCCCCTTTGGCTCTGTCCTAAATCTGGAGTTACGTACAGAAAACCGTCAACGCGTGTCAAGATGACTCGAAACGGCCGACGGTTCCCTCAAGTCTTTTGATAGTAATATTGCAGCTACGACCCTGAGAATTCAACTGGCAGACGCGGCATAACCCGCTACAGGTGGGAAAAATACCTGTTATCAAAACGAACTTTCAAATTTTACAGAAAGATGGAAAAATCCGACCCCGCGGGTGCGGGGGGCGCTGCCTCGCCTTCACTCGCGGATGCCCCGCGCGGAGCGTGTCCGTGCGGCCGCGCCTCCGCAGGATCGCGCCCTGGGGCCTGGACCGCGAAGGCGCGGATGGAAGGGGCCCTGGGACACACAAACACATGCACACGAATACACGGATTCCCCATATATCTCTACGTTTCCGTTTTCCCCCATTTCCAACATTTTCATACATTTCCCAAACATGCTGTGGTGTTGGGTCCTCATTTTGAAGAAACGGTGCCCCGCATTCCTCCTCCTCCTCCCCCCTCCTCCTCTTCCTCCTCCTCCTCCTCCTCCTCCTCCTCCGCCTCTTCCTCCTCGTCCTCCTCCTCCTCCTCCTCCTCTTCCTCCTCCTCCCTCCTCCCCCTCCTTGCCTTTGCTCTCCGCATGTCTCTGTTTCGGCACACCCCTCACACGCTTCGTGGCCCCATCGGGGGTTCCACCTAAGGTCCCAGTGGCGCAACCCGCATGGCGCCGCCGCCCCATGTGGGCACACCCCTCACACGCTTCGTGGCCCCATAGGGAGCTCCATCTGAAGCCCAGTGGCGCAAACCGCATGGCGCCGCCACCCCATGTAGACACACCCCTCACAAGCTTGGTGGCCCCAGTGGGAACTCCATCTAAGGCCCCGGTAGCGCAGCCCGCATGGCGCCGCCGCCCTATTTTGCCACACCCCTCACACGCTTCGTGGCCCCAAAGGGAGGCCCACGCCAGGCCCCAGTGGCACAGCCCGAATTGCGCCGCCGCCCAATTTGGGCACACCCCTCACACGCTTCGTGGCCCAATAGGGAGCTCCATCTAAGGCCCCGGTGGCGCAAATCGCATGGCGCCGCCGCCCCATGTAGACACACCCCTCACACGCTTGGTGGCCCCATTGGGAACTCCATTTAAGGCCCCGGTGGCCCAGTTCGCATTTCGCCGCCGCCCAATATGGGCACACCCCTCACACGCTTCGTGGCTTCATGGGGAGCTCCACGTAAGGTCGCATTGGCGCAGTTCGCATGGCGCCTCCGAACCCAGGGCGTGGGCGTGCACGGGCAAATAGGGACAGAAAAAACGCGAAGGAAGCGGGCGCGATGCTCGTGAGGAGCGTGCCGACATGGGCGTCGCGGCGTGCGGGCGCTACTGTCGGGGTTCCAGGGGAAGCTTCCTGAGGCGGCCACGCTCAGTGTCACGAGTACCCAGGGTCAAACATACGTGAACCATTCACAATCGTGTGTATATAGATGTGTATATATATATAGAGAGAGAGAGAGAGAGAGAAATACACGGAGAAACATATATGCGTATGTATACACACACCAGGCGCGGCCATGCTCGCATTCATGCAAATATACTTACTCGCACGCAGACTCATTCACACTCAGAGTCACCCGCGCTCACACTCACCCGCGCTCAGTCTCTCGTAATTATGCCAATCGTCTTCGTTCGTGTTGTGTACCCTGCAACGCAATCCAGCGCACCCCTCATACGGCTCGTAGCCTCATAGGGAGCGCCACCGAA